GGGAAGAGAAGGTCCTCTGAACTTCTCAAGGGGGGTCCTGGACCAAAAAATGGCCAAGAAAACATTAGGCTACAGGGGTTTCTAACTCTCCGGTTTCAAAGCCGAGCACAAGCCCTTCCCCGCCGGTTCTCCAAAGCGCCCTTCCTCCGTGCCGCCCTCCAAGCCTTCGCTCATCTTTGCCCTCACCATGCACTGCCCTGTCTCGCACGCCTTCTGCTGGTGAAATCCTCCTCACCCCTTAAGGTCCACCTCTAACCCAACTACCTCTAAGAGGCCTTTCCCAATCCCCCAACCCATCAAGGCCACTTTTACCTCCTGTGGTCAAGGATTCATTCATCCAGTGACCAAGTATTTACCGTGCACCTACTGGGTGTCGGCCCTACACTGGGCATTAGGAGAAATGACTCAGACCCGGGCCCCGTCTCCTAGGAGCTCTGCAGTCTAATGAGGGAGACAGGTGTGCACACAGACATGTGGCGATCTAAGCCACGAGGAGCTGACCGACATAGGGACAGTGCTGAGGGAGAACAGAGGGGTGAGGACACAGGTCGCTCAGCTCGTCTGGGGTTTCCTGACAAGCAGTTTTATGGCAAAGTCCCAGAGCAGAAGTGCAGAGGGCCTCAAGAGTCAGCCCTCTTTCAAGAAGTGAAGATCACATGTCGCACACACTCTTCTCATGCCTCCCAGGATGCCTGGGAAGTGTGACCCTGCTTCTGCTGAGACAGCAGTGAGGGCTGGCGGGTTTCATCAAATATCGTATGTCACAGTAAATGTCAGCAGTCAATGATTAATTTGTACCCGGAACACCAATATGGACATTATCATAATGTACACAGCAATGCTACACGTGACCGCCCCAGGGCTCACGGCAGAAGAGCTGGGGCTCTGGACCATATGTCAGGCCTGGGGCCTAGGATGGGCCCAGATAAGCTGAGCCCCGCCCAGCACGCCATACTGCCAGATGTTCCTGTGGAAGGAAGAGGTGGGTTCTTGAGCTAAAATGCCTGGGACTGAATGCCAGCTCTGCAACTGACCAGCTGTGTGACCTTGGGCAAATTACTTAAATTCTTAGAGCTGTGTTCCCTCCTCCACAGATAAGAGCCCCACCTCCTGGGGCTGTTATGAGGATGAAGGGAGTTAACACTGAGATGGGTCCTGGCGTGCCGGAGGAGCTAATAAAGCAGACACTGTGACTGGAGTCAGTGCTGTCGATGTCAGCCAGGGTCCAATCTCTCCACCCAGGAGGGGTGCTGTGGGACTCACTGGCCTTAGGTAATAAAAGCTGGGGGTTCGGAAGATCCTGATTCCTTCCTCCATCCTGAAGCTACGCCTGCCAGCTACCAGCGGCCACAGAACAGCAGGAACACCTCTACCTGGAGCCAAGGCTGGATGCGGGGCCTCGACAGCCACCTCTAACACCTTACTTAAGTACTTACAGACAGTTCAAAGCCCTCTGGGCAAGTAAAAGAGGAGACATTTAAAGGACAGAGCCTCCTGAAGAGGACGTCTGGTATAGTAAGCCTTCTCTACAAAGAGCCGTCGGGGAGAGCCCTGTGATGACCACCCCCAATGAGAAGCCCAGGGCTCTGGCACAGTGCCCCGAGCCCACCCCACCTCAGCCCTCACTCCTGGGCACACCACAGGCCTGGGAACTGCCACTGGCAACTCCTCATAACTTCCCCTCCAGCAACTCCTTTTCCAACCTCCACTCTCACTTGCCAGCTCACCCCCTCGACAGCCCTGAATCCAACAGTCTCCCGGCCCTGACAGAGGGCCTGGCAGCCCTCAGTAAACACTGTTAAAACCGAAGGAGTAGTATATCACATTCGTCTCACAAACCCGACATGTGCCAGGCACCCTGCTGCGTTCTGGGCAGTCGTACTGGGATGAACAAGACAGACCCAGCCTCTACATTCATGGGGTCTGTGCTCACCAGGAAGGAGGTCTACTGAGCTCAGGGATGGGGTGCTTTGGGGACACACAGCAGAAACACCTACTCAGGCCTGAAGGCCAAGGAAGAACAACTAGACGTGAGGCTAGCGAAGAAGGGGAAAGTGTTCTAGGCTGAGGCAAGAGTCTGAGTGAAGGCCAGGAGCAGAGGGTGGCCAGAGTTGAGACCAGAGGCAGAGGCAAGGCCCCAAGAGGGGCCTTTCTGAGCCACGCTAGTCATCTGATAATGTTAAGGAAAGAGAAGCCCTTAAAGAGTTAAGCAGAGGAGTGCGCAAACAGATGAAAGATCATTCTAGAAAGATCATTCTGACAGCAGCTTGGAAGAGGATGGGAGGAGAGCAAGATGGTACCGGAGCAACAGGCCAGGAGGCAGGGAGCAGCAAGAGTCCACCTGCACCATGCCCACCGCCTGAAAAGAGAGCCAGTGGCGAAATGGAGAGTAGCAGGACCCCTACTGGTTTTGGAATGGTGTGTGGCTGGAATACACTCTCCGGACTCCCTTATGGTTCGCTGTGGTCATGTGACTAAAATCCTAGTCAATGGGACTCAGGTGGAACTTCCAAGAAGTGTCCCTAAGGAGAAGGAGACTGCCCATCTTCACCCTGTCCTTCCGCCTTTCTGCGGGCTGGACCTGGCATGGCCATCTGGGACCATGTGGTGACCTAGAGAATGGAGGTCACACACGGTGAGCAACATCACAGAGGGAGACAGCTACCACAGTGGCCCTATCTGCTGTGGCTGTCCCTTAGGAGAAAACTAAAACTCAATTCTGTTTAGCCACTACTGTGTTGGGCTTTCTATCGCTCGAGCTGAACCTAATCGTAACTGACAGAGAAGCAGCAGACTCGAGATTACTTGGAAAGAGAACCCGACAAAACTCGGTTAAGGACCTGGATCTGGGGGTGAGGGAGAACGAAGAATCAGAGATCACTCCTAGGTGTCTGGATTGCACAACCACAGAGATGGGCGGTGATGCCATTTGCTGATGTAAAACTGCTTGTGTGGGAGCAGGTTAGAGAGCAGAGCGGAGAATCCAGAGCCGGGTGATTCCTGGCATTCTGAGAGGAAATATGAGCTTAGCTTGAAATCCTACCCAACAATGCTTATTCTGTCTAAAATCAACAGAGCGGCACAGGAAGAGAAATGGTTTAGGAACCAGAAGACACAGATTGTGTTTCTTCACTGCTTCCTGTGCAACTCTGGAAAAGTCATTTCTCATCCCCGAGCCTCAGTTTTCTCATCCATGAAATGGAATGTCTTCCTTGCTTACCTCATCAGGTCGCTGGAGGACATGCCACTGTACCATATGTGACAGTTCTGTCAGCTGTAAGGTGCCACCCAATCAAGGGTAGTAATAGCACAGGTGTCGTTAATAAACTGTTCACAAAGGGTTTAACCCTCCGAGATGGAAGTCGGCCCAGAGTGGAGCTCAACCTTCCCGAGACAAAGCTAGAATCCTGTCGAGGAATATTTATAACTGAGGCGGACCTGGTGATGATTTGCACAGGGACGGTGTAGAGCCACCAGGGCAGGACACCTCAAAGGCACAGATGAATGGACCCACTGGCCCGGTCAGCTGTGCATTCCTGAAGAGCAGCCCCCAGCTGCGGGCCTGGGGAAGAGTTCTGAACGAGGCCAGCCAGAGGGCCGTCAGCTCAGACCCATCCGAGCCCAGTCGGGACTACTCTTGCTGTGTTGAAACTGGCCATTGGACTGTGTTCTTTGCCCAACCGCCTGCTTGGGTGCCTCTGCCTCAGTTTCCCTGTGGAGCCAGGCCCTGACAGGCTGGTGTCCTGACACCCTGCCTCACTCGTCTCCTGGTGACTGGACCTCGACTTCCCAGTTGCCACTTTCAGAGACTCCTGCTGCCACACCGCCTCAGTCAGAGTGATCCTGAGGCTCCCTCCAGCCTGACCTCTCTCCCAAGCCCTGGACACACCCAGGCCCCGGCCAGACCCATCTGCCTGCGGGTCCCCTCCCTCAGGCCTTGACAGGTCGGGAACAACCCTATCCACTCTGTTCCTCCAGATACACTACTACTCACTCTTCCAGACACAGAGCAGCCCACCAGGAAGTAGTCACCTCCTGTTCCCACTGTTCAGGGGGCTCTGCCTCTGTCACAACAAGCCCTGGACACACCCAGGTCCCGGCCAGACCCATCTGCCTGTGGGTCCCCTCCCTCAGGCCTTGACAGGTCGGGAACAACCCTATCCACTCTGTTCCTCCAGATACACTACTACTCACTCTTCCAGACACAGAGCAGCCCACCAGGAAGTAGTCACCTCCTATTCCCACTGTTCAGGGGGCTCTGCCTCTGTCACTCCTCACACTGCCTGGCTTGCAGGTGGCCTCGCCCAAGGACTGCATGTTCCTTAAAGACACAGAGCATGTCCTACCATCTCGCAGCACCAGCTGAACCTGGCCCAGGGCCGCAGACTCCAGAGACACTGGAGGTGCTCAGTGCATGCTGACTGGATGGGGGACAACAGGATAGCCAGAGGGATGGATGGATGGATAGAAAAAGGGCTGTCGGTACCAGCCCAACTCAACGCCAGTCTGCAGGAGCCCAAGCTCCTCCAGACCCTGCATTCTGGGTCCTTAGCCACTCCTCTCCCCTTTTCCCACAGCCCTGCAGCTGGCTTCCTACCTTTCACTTCTAGCCCACAGGAGACCCTGAGAAGTGACAACTGTCCACCCCTTAAAGGCTCTCCTGAACAAACTCTGCCCTCCCTGTGAGGGCAGTCATACCTTTAAAGATCCAGGTGACCCCTGGGCCTTACCTGACTGACCCTTCTCAGCTTCACCCCCTTTCCTCTTCCCTCCAACCGCATGGGTCAAGCCTTGCCAGGAAACAGCCCGGTCTTCTGTTCCTGCTGCCAGGACCCTGACAGGCCAGGTGTGGATTCTAGGAAACCCCTCCCTCCACTCAAGAGCAGTCCCCTCTCCCACCTCTCTCCTGACCCCTCAAACACAGACCCAAAGAAGTGGCTTCTGAGCCAAGAAACCTCCAGTCAGAGGAAAGGCGTGAGTTGTAGCTGATCATCACCCACCGGAATCCACTCTGTGAGTTCCTGGGGTTGACCAGGATGCAGTCCCAGGTGCGATTGGAAGTGTTCTGGAACAGAATCAGCTGCCCTTCCTCCTGAACCCGGACACTCAAGATGTAGTCGGCCACAGACACCTCCTTCACCCGGAACGGGTTAGAGAACATGTTGGTGACGCTACTGAGGGTATTGACCAGGCGGCCGAAGAACTGCATCTTCTGCGGGGCTGGTGAGGAGGCCCCACCGCCTTCCCCCTCAGTCTAGAAGAAAACGGGGTCTCTGGTCAGCTGGGCTCGGTCTCCCATGCCCACCTCACCAAGCGCAGCGGTTTCCTGCCCAGGCACCCAGATCGCTCCCCACCAGCGCAGTTTCCCTGATTCTGGGCGTGAAGGGACCTGCAAAGGAGGTGAGAGAGAGAGAGAGACGGCACTGAGTGGGAGGTAAGAAGGCCCGACGGGCATTACAGAGCCGCCACTGTGCACAGGTGACCGGACTGTCCTGTCCCAGACCCAGTTTCTCCAGCAGAGACTCAGTTTCCTCATCTGTAGCGTGGAGCCATATCGCTCAAAGGAGCACATGCTACAGGTGATCCCGCCCTGTGAAAATGGAGTTCTCGCCATGTAAGGTGAAGGGTCAAGCTTTCTGGTACTCAAAGAGCTTGGTATGGATCATTTCAATTCCACAAACAAAACCAGTGTCCCCTCTACTAGAAACCGCAAGGGAACCAGGATGGTCTCACACACTCTGTCAGGGGCGGGGGAACTGTAAGCATTTGTCCAAAGCCTTTCATATCTGCTACCCTGGTTTCCCAAGAAGCTCCAAGGGAACTCAAAACCCAGCTTCCAGGAAATAAATGTGCATGAAAGGACTGGACACAGTGACCACATATTTGAGTGGAAATTTTACATTTCATATTCACAGGGTCCCAGTTTATACTATGGAAATCGTCCCCAGTTTGGATGACAGAATTAGATGTCTTGTTATTTTCTGGGTTCTCAGAAAGCATGCTGCCTTCCTAAGGCAGTGCCACCAGAGTCAGGTGACAATTAACTGGTGGCCACCCTCTGCCTCTGCGCCACAACGTCACCTGCAAAAGAGTAGGTCAGACAAGGACAAGGAGTGAACATGTGGGCGCCCTGGAGGAAAGTGGACATGTGAATGGACACTAGTCACAACCTGGTCCATGTGTTGAGGAAAGTATCAACTTTAGGATAAAAGGAACAACAGGAGGCCTCATTTAATCACCTAAATAAGGAGTAAGGGTCAAAATGATAACATCAGGAGACATTAATTGAGCACTTACGAGATAGGAGGCCTTGAGCTAAGCACGTCACGTTACTGGCTCATTTAATTCTCATAAAACCACATGAGGCAGATGCGCTGAGCACACAGTGCAGCTCTTGAGCAAAACCACTGAAATCCTGGCCTCGCCACTTACCAACTGTGTGGCCTTGGACAAGTTACTTAACCTCCCCGAGTCTTAGTTTCTTCATCTGTAAATCTGTAACACGGGGACCACAACAGTGTCTAATAAGAGAAGCTAGCAGCCAGTAAATGTTCGATAAACATTAGCTCTCTTGGCTTCAGTCACCCCCCATGTTAAAGATCAGGAAACCGAGGCTTACAGAACCATGACTGTAGAGCTCTGAAAACATTCCAAAGCTTTGTAACGTCCTTCCTGTTATGATAAGTGGTAAGATGTGGTGTGAGCAGACTGTGAGCCTCAGTTCTCCTTCTTTAAAATGAGGATAATGCTCACCTTTCAGGTGTTTTGAGGATGAAATGAGAACACGTGTGAGAATGCTTAAACCTGTGTCAAGTCCCTTTTGTCTCGGGAACTGTAAGAACAGAGGAGTTGTACCCCTCCCCATAGGCAGGGGAGAGGGGAGGGACGCCGAGGAAAGGTGTGGTAATGAGTCCCAGGAAAAGAACCCCCTAAAATGTAGGACAGGCATGCACGTCAATGTGCATATAACATTTTTTTTGTTTTGACACAGAAAGGGAAGCAACTTCAATACCCAACATTAAGGGAAATGTAAATGGTGATATCTTTACCTCACAGACACCTCGGGGTCATTAAAAGCTATGATTGTGAAGATCCCAACCACTCAGGAAGAGCATGTGGCATTGTGCTACAGGCTCGGTGGCATCCAGTCCATGATGTGCCCTGTGCTCGGCCTGTGGAGCCCCCACCTCCCATGCAGCCTCTGCCTCTTAGACCCGCCCTGTCAGCTCTAAACCATACGCGATTCCAGAAAGCAAGGTTGTTTCACTCATCCTCACCTGTCTGCATTGATCTGTCTGGAAAAGCCTTGATCCCCTCACAAGACCTCACGCTTCCAAATACTAATCACACCAAACACTCACGTGCCTTCTTGTTCCCTGGCCCTGTTCCAAGAGTTTACATATATTGATCATTTCATCTGTACCACCACCCTATAAAATTGTTACCATTGTTCATCTCATTTTACATACGAGAAATGCAAGGAACAGACCAGAGAGGTAAAGTAACATGCCAAGGTCACACAGCTAGTAGTAGGTGGAGGAGTGAGGACTGGAGCCCAGATGGGCTGGCTCTGGAGTCTGAGCTTCTTAAAGGCAGGTGCTGCACCTCTGGACACTCACCCCCAGCACAAAGCTTGGCCCATACAAAGGGCGTTAAAGCACAATTTACAAGTTTAACTGAATAAAAATAATGCGCAGAAAAAAAAAAAGCTGATAAAAAACATACCAAAATACTAGGAGTAGATGAGGGTATTGGGATTATGGGCAATTATTTTCTTTTCCTTATTTTCCAAACGGTATGGAAATTTTTTAAAGCAAGTAGGAGCATAGGCTGAGCCCCTGGGGCCTGCACCTGGGAATGTGGGGGTCAGGCCTGGCTTAGAAAAGCAGCGAGAGGCTCCCTGAGGGCAGGCTGGCTGCCCTGGGAATGGTGCTCACAGGAAGTGGAGAAGTGGGAGCGCCCAGCACCAGGGAGCCCACTGGGGTTAACGGGAAGTGGGTCACTGTGGGGGTCCAGCTGGATGAAAGGAAGATGCCCCGCCCCGGAGGAGAGACCCTCCTCAGGGTCCTGGCGCTGGCAGCTGGGTCCCTCCCACACGCTGACTGCTGCCTGGCCGCTGAAAGGTCACACCTGGCTCTCTTCCCGCCTCCCATGCTGGGCGTGAGGATGAAATGACACAATGTAGAGAAAGTGCTCTTCCAGGCCACTGGCCAACTGTGGGCACATAAACAGTGGCTGTTGTTATCACAAGGTGGAAGAAAGGAAATTAAAACCATCGGGCCACATCCTGGAGCCATCGCACAGGCCAACCGGGAAAGCAGCAAGTGTAAAGAGCGCACGGTTGTACTTCCTTCTCCGTTCTGTCGTCCTCCTCCTGTCCCCACCACCTCTGACCGCAGAACCCAGGTGTTTTTCCAGCACAGCTGTAGGGAGAGGATGCTGGGCTGGGGCACGGGCTGACATTCCTAACCTGAACTTGTAAGGTCCCTTCCAACCGACTCCTTCCCTGCACAGCCCTTCACCTCGCTTCCTCTCGCGTCTCGCAGCTGCTCACCCTTGGACCGTCCCACGGTGTCACCATTTGCTTTCACCTACTGACAACTGTTCTTTATTGCTCCTTAGCTGAGCACCTAGGTGACGCCAGAGCCATCAGTCGGGGACCATACGCTCCTGGGCACCAAGGGCTGCTTCAAGCAGTTCTCCGCAATGCCACAGTGTAAGATGCAAACCTAAGAGCTTTTGTGGTGATGGTAATGGTGACAGTTCTCTACCCCATACAACTTCTAAGTGTCAAGTCTGTCTCTCCTATAGTGAGGCTGGATATTTCTGGCCTGTTCCCCTTAGTTTTGCTCCCCCATCCCCTGTCAAAGGCCCAGCTTGCCTGCTCGGTTTCTTCAGGGGAGAATTCCAGTGGCTGCCAGGTGTGAGGTGCCCCTTGAAGAGCTGTAAGGCAGGATGGACAAGCAATATTATCTTCATTTCAGAGATAAAGAAATTGAGGCCCAGAGAGGCCTTACGCTGTGAGTGTTCAAAGTGCAGTTTAAAAGGGATGTGATGATGTCCACCAATAAAGAAAATAAACAAATTAAAAAAACCCTTACTGGGATCAGAGGACAACTGGGACCAACAGGTAGAATCCTGGGTGAGTTCCCCGGAAACAGCTAGCTGGGATCATGAAATGAGAAGTCACAGGGGGACCCAAGCTGTTTCAGCTTTGAAAAGTGCAGAGTCAGGTGAACACACAATGCCTTATTGTTAAATTGTATACCTGAAACTTACTGGGTTTCGTTAGCCAATGTCACCATAATTAAAAAAAAAAAAAGAGAGAGAGAAACAAAGAAAAGTGCATTCTCTTGAGGGGAAGAGTCAGAGAAGGATGGCTGGAGGAGGTGACTTGAAGTGGGGATGAGGTAGAGGCCTTCCCAGTAGACAGAACTGACGAAAATGTATGGGACGGCATGGGGACAGGAGCCCGTGTGACCCATCTGGGAACAATAAGCATTTTCATTGGGACTGGCCAGCACAGAGTCGGGGCTATGGTTACTGCTGCAGTCACTGTGAATACTGGTCACCGTGGAGCCATTTATTTGGCATCTGCTATGCCAGCCTTGCTCAAAGCCACCCTGTGAAGTGGGTTCTTTATTCCTAGTTTCCAGAGGAGATAAGTTCAAGAAGGACAGTAGAGGAAGGCGGGGCACATGGGTCAGTTATAGGGGTGGTTAGTCCCCAGATATCTGGTTCTCTTCAGCCGTGAATTCCCTGCAGGACCCTGGCAGGTCTCAGACAAGAGATAAGAGAGGAAGAACAAAGCCACCAAGCCCTGGGCCCGTCCTCTCTCCTACTCTGGATGGTTATGTGTGAAAACTGCTCTTCCAGAGTAAAAGAGGACACTTCCTGGCCTGTCCTACCTGGAATGCCCTCCCCCGTTCCGGCCAGAGCCTCTGATTCGCCTTCAAGGCCCAGCTGCCCCCTCTGATGGCTCAGCACTGGATCTGCCCCTCCTGTGACTCACACTACAGCCCTTTTCATATGTGCACACGAGAGGTTCACCCTATGCATCTTATCCCCTCTCTGTACAAATCGAACTCCCTGCTTCCACCTGTCCAGTGGCTCCCCATCACCTTCCAGAGAAAGGATGCGAGCTGCCATGTGAGCTGGCCCAGTATACCCCTCCAGCCCGCCACCTCCAGCCATGCCGCACCACTGACACC